GGATTCTCTCTTCTCCACCTCCCTGCCTTCCTCTCCCCGTCCTGCCTGAACATGGGAGCTTCCCCCTTGTCGCCTTTAGCGGACTCCCCCCTTCAATGTCTTATAAAAAACCTCAACACTTTGTCTTTAGAACCTGAAGCTCTGCACACAAGAGTGGCCCCAATACCAATTAGATAATCAAAACAAATGGCCACCAGAAGGCACACTAGACCCTGATATTCTCCGAGATTTGTTGAAACCTCTGCCAGCACCAGAGAAAATGGAAGGAGATTCCCTATGTTGCCCCAAATCCCTCTCTCTGTCTCACCTGTTCTCCCTCCCAGGTTCTCCTTGCTTCCAAACCCCCTCTGTCCTAGCCACCTCCGTCATTCCCTACTTCTGATGGTTTTGACCCTGCGGACGAACCTCCTCCGTACAGACCCCCTCCTCCTGCAGTTCCGTATGCCCCCAATCCCCACAACCCACTCCACCGCCATCTTCTTCCGCCAGCCATTTTCTGCCTCACCGGCTCCGCCATCTTCTGCCACACCTAACCCTTCCGCTCTTCCTTNCCTTTTTGGGCTTAGTGGGATACTTTAGAGCGTGGATCCCAAATTACTCTCTGCTGGCTCGACCAATCGGGTTCCAGCCTCTACCGCCTACTTCTCAGTTTTAGACTTAAAAGATGCCTTCTTCTCCAATCCCCTGTCATCTTCACCAGATAAGCCATTCCAAAAACTCCATCAGGCCCTAGTTGTGGCCCCCCCCACACACCTGCCTGACCTCACTAAACCCTTCTCCCTTTACGTACATGAAAAGGATGGACAAGCCCTGGGTGTGTTGGGACAGACGTGTGGCCCCTCCTTCGCCCCAGTAGCATGATACTACAAAAAGAGGCTCATAAATTCCCCTATACAGACAGTTAAAGACATCAACACTAAACTTGAAGGAGCCTTAACCTCCACTGCTGAGTCCCTCTCCTCCCTACAAAGGCAAGTTACCTCCCTCGCTAAGGTAACTCTCCAAAACCGCAGAGCACTAGACCTTCTCACCGCCGAAAAGGGAGGCACATGCATCTTCCTCGGAGAGGAATGTTGTTATTAAACTAACATCATTAAACTCACTGATCTGGCCTCTAGCCTCCGGGCCATGTCCAACTCTAACCCCTTTTCTTCCTTTCTCCAAAATCCTCTCCTAACCTGGGTATGGCCTGTCGTAGGACCTCTAACTATTATTTTAATAGCCTGCCTCTTTTTACCCTGCATTCCAAGCCTTTTAACCAGCTTTTACTTAGAAATTACCAGCTGTTTGGGCCGAGCCCGTGGTGCACTTGGGAGAGTGCAGTGCTCCCGCCACGGGTTCGGATCCTATATAGGGATGACTGGTGCACTCACAGCGCTCACTGGCTGAGCGCGGTGCGGCCAGTCTCAAAAAGGACCAAAAAAAAAAAAAAGAAATTACCAGCTGTTGGCCATGGAGGACCCCTCTCACTCCTCTGCAGAACGCCTGACGCACTGAAGTCACTGATGGTGCTTGTTCCTAACCACCATAGCTGCAGATGCCTGGATGATCTCTCCCGCAACCTCTTACACCCACTGGACACAGCAGATGGCTGACTTATGGCTCCAAGGGACCTTCATGTATTTCTCCCCACTTGAAATCACCCTATTTACCACTCTCCTTTGGGGCATAATAAAGGGCTTCCTTCTCCTCCCTGTTCCTCTCTCAACGCCCCTCTCCAGCAGGAAGTAGCTCGAAGACCTCGACGACCTTACCCCCCAATAGAGGAAAAAGGGAGGAATGTAGGGCCCCATAAAACCCCAAAGGAGACATTCCCTAAAACATGGCGCCTTTCCGGCTTCTCTTCCGGGTCCTAACATTCCCGCTGGCACCAAAAGTATGGCCTATCAAAATCATCACCCACCCTTCTGACCAATCAGCCACTGCCTCGCGTACTAACCACCCTCTCCCGGAACTCAGCTCTCTATAAATGTATGCTTCACCCTCAAATAAAGCGGAACTTCTCCGGTGAACTGTCAGCTCGGGTCCTGTCATTCTTTCACTGATCATGGGGTGCCCTGTGTTTCCAAACTCACTCGGAACCACCACTGTCTTTAGGACACTCCCAGGGAAGCTGAAGCCAGTCCATGACTCAGCATACAGCCTATGTTCTCTCGGGATTGTTCATTAATCGTGATAATGTCGCCTTTTCCTTACACAGCTAGGTTGGTGCTCACTACTGCTTTTCAAGAGTAAAATTAGGGATATTATAGGGAGTAAAACTATAAAGAGAAGCATCAGAATAATTACTGCACAAATGAACTAGTGGTTACCTCTGTGGAGGGGCGGGGATGCTCTTGGGGAGGAGTCCATGGGCCTCTAAGCCACTTTATCAGTACCTTAGAAACACTCTCTATATGTCATTTATTTCTTAACCTAGGAGGTAGATAAGTGTCAAATAGAACTATGCATTCTATACACTATTCTGTACATGTAACACATTCTGCTATGTTTTTAAATAGGCTTAAATACCCACGAAACTGATAAACGGGTTTGGGAGGGGTGGAGCAGAAAAGACTGTTGATACTATTGGCTTTTTTATCTTTGGCAGCTGGCCAGTGCAGGAACTGAACCCTTGACTTTGGTGTTACAAGGCTGCACCCTAAACTGGCCAGCCTCTACTGGCTTTTTAAAGCACACGCACGAACAAGTCCTGCTTTGATAAAAACAGAACTTCTATGCTAGAAATACGGTTTACAAAGGTTAAGTCAAGGTTCTTGTCTTTGGGTATTTCTGAATCTGGCAAGGGACTAATGCAGATGGCTAACTACTATATAGCCTGATAACAGCTGTAAAGTACCTATATGCACAGTGCTTCTGGATTACAGGAGAGGGAGCAATGACTTCTAGTCAAAAGTCACTGAGGACAGGAGTGGAATAAAGGGCACAGTCTGTAAATCAGGTCTTGGAGAACACGGGATTTGAAACTGGAACAGAGAAGGAAGAGCATCTCAAGAGGAAACAAAGCGAGGACACAGGAGTGTGAAAGTGCAGGCAAGCAGTCTAGAGTGAATCAGGGGCTATGCATAACCTCCAGAGGTGGCATTCAGTCATCTGCAGTAATCCTGGTTGAAGAGATGGCTAGAGCCCGAAAGGAAAGACACCAAAAGTGAAGAGTACTACGTAGGAAATGGAAAGACGGAATACAAAGTGAAAGAGACTTACTGAATTCTAAACATTAGTTGGTAGGCTAGTGCTGACATACTAGATTGTCATTTCCATATGAAATTTTAAAAACCAACCATTTGTACTCAAGGAGTGACAGCAGCATGTATATTTAATGGCAGAGACAAACATGAAGTATTTTGTCAATGTATTTCACATTAATACCATTCCTTAAGGTCTTCAGAACATGGGTAGAATGGGACAAAAATCACTGAGTTCCCTGTAAGTACTTCTTTATTAGAAAACAAATTAACTGGGACCAAGCCCGTGGCGCACTCGGGAGAGTGCGGCGCTGGGAGTGCAGCAGCGCTCCCACCGCAGGTCCGAATCCTATATAGGGATGACCGGTGTGCTCACAGCGCTCGCTGGCTGAGCGCGGTGCAGCCGGTCTCAAAAAGGACAAAAAAAAAACCCCAAAAAACAAATTAACTGTTTTCACATAGACCACAGAAGAAATTTAACTAACTTCTCTTGCAATTCTAGAAAAAATCTTTAAACTCCATGATAAGGGATTTTTAAGTTTTCAAAGTGTGGGGGGATAAAAAGAGTCACACAGGACAGTGTTTCTCAAATTTGGCTCCTTTCACAGACATACTCATGGGGGAAGGGGCTGCAAGTTTTCTACAATAATGTTTTACACTGTTTTAATTCTGCTGGTAATATAAATCAAATTAATATACACTTGTTCAGGATTACCTGGATGACAATCTTAAGAGTGTTGCTACATGATCATGGCATCTGCACTTGTGCCTCTGATCCACTGGCACCAAATAAAGACCAATTGTGCTTAACTCTTCATGCAGTTTCTCAGATTGGGTCCTCATACCCTTCAGGGAATTATTGGACATTTCGTATGAGGTCTGTCAGGTGGCAAGGTCGAGAATGCTGATTCAGAGCAGTGATTCTCAAGGTGGGATAAGTTGGGGTGGGGAGATGTGTGTGGTAGGAGAAAAAAAAATCAAAATATGCATTGATTTCATAATACAAATTTCATAAAGTCAAGCTCAGCAAAATAACATCAGCTGATGGACAGTAGCAAAAAGGAAAAAGATAAGAATCTTTTCATCAACTTTTTGAAGTACCCTCACAGAATCATCCCCAGGGGGGACCTGGATAAACATGGTTGAGAAACACGGGCTTAGAGGTAGAGGCATGCTGGCACGTGGAGAACAGTAAGGAAGAAACATGCAGGGAGGAAGAACCTCTTTTGGGTCGGTGAGTAAATCCTAAGCCAGAACTTGTCATGGTTTTCTGGAACCCAAAGGGCCAATCCAGGAAAAAACCAAAATGGTCCTTCAACCTTCTTGGCCCCATAATTAAGGGCAAGTTGATCCACTTTGTAATACTGAGCCAAAAGAAGAAAAAAGCTGTTTTTGCCCAAAATTCCATCCACCAGGAAGTGCTGTCATCATTTGCAACGCCATCCTGCTCACAAGGGGGGACATCAGCGTGGGGCCAACTCTGCCAGGAAAGAAACAAAGAATTGGATCTTCTCAAAAGGTGGGTCATCCTGCTTTTCCTCTCATTACCAGAACACCTGCTGTTGCCATTGATACACATTCTATTATAGACGGCCTTGAGATGGCGTTGCCAGCAAACTACCCACAGCACAGAATGAGGAAGGAGAAGGACAACGCAAATAAAGACACTTTCTGAATAAGGGGACTCTAATGCCCACACCAAAATAGAGGCATTTCCCATCTTCTTCCATTCTTAATCTAAGCCCAAATTGCTGAACATGTTCAGGGATAGGAAACATTTGGTAGCACTGTTATTGGGTTTTGAGTACTTTAGTACCTGGGATGAGGGTCAGACAGCTAACCCAAACAGTGTTCACCTGCTGTGATGATGTCAAATTATGATTGGGTGACTTATCATATTGATTTATTTTATGGAACTCAATTGTATTTTTTCAGACTTTTCTTTCTGTTGCTACTCTTCAGTAACTATCACAAGTTTTTCACTGCCCAAGGAATAAGTTATTAATTAGTGGGCAGATAACTCTCAAAGAGCACCTTGGTTAAAGAACCGTTAATTTCCCCCTTGACTGAAGAAACACTTGAGTCTGTGCATACAGGTCAGTGGAAATGGCCTATTTAGAAACTCACTGGCGCAGTGCTGGAGAGCTGGGGGGGGGGGGGGGGG